TTATTTATCATTCATTTCTGCCTATACTACTCGCTAACGCCCTACCACTCTCACGAACTACGCATTGCATCACATGTCTCCCTACTTCTAGTGTTTACTTCTATCGATTTCTAACTGCCTATACCTATAATGCTACGCTAGCCTAGATCCTCGGCCTTAAATTAATCTTCGATTTGGAAAAAATAATAGCAAAATTTTGAGACCCTTTTAGTCAGCGACAATCGATTGTCGAATACCGCACATGGAAACAGTCTGTTTGTACTTATTTATATTGTTGTTGCTTATCTACATTACCTAACAAATACTACATATTATTCGGAGTAAAAAAAAAAATCTAAATATTCGGAATATTCTGGGCACAGTGTTCACAGAGTAGTTTTTCAAGGGTCTCTACAGAATATAGAGCTAATGTAACGAGAAAATAACTCATGCAAAAATTGTCTAATCATAGGTCAACATTTCGAATGACTTAAATGATATTGCTGTTCTACGAATTCTTTACCGAAAGTCCTTACAACATTACCTTAAGAAATAAATATAATATTATTACAAAATATGCATTAATAGACTATTAAATAATCCTTAAATATTTTCGTTGTGCAAAAAATATTCTAATTAACACAATTCGTTGTTTAATCATTGCCCTCGTTGCCTCTATAGTTTGACAAAAAATTGTAAAATATATTTTTGTAAACAATTTCATATAAAGTTTAAACCATTCTTCTATGTCTAATAATCAAAGAATATAAGAATTGTTGCTTTTACCAGGCCAATAATATTCATATTAAAAACAAGGACGAGATGATTCTAATGTCGACTTAGTTTAACACACACAAATAAAGTTTCAATTGCAAGCAAAAAAGTTTTTTTTACTTCCAAAAGGTATAAATTTATTGTAATTATCTTTTTTTTTAAATTACATTGCATCATAAAACCAGAACAATGTGATGATATTGGACGATGTATTACATATTGTTTTGTATATGGTTTTCATAATAGCGATTATTCATATATGTACGTTCTGCAAAAACGTACGTTGTAAAAAATTTAGCTATTAAAATTATATTATATTTTATACCGCAGTACAATCTAGGTTTAATCTTTTTAGGCTATAAATATATTTTCACTTTTATGTGCTTTCCATGTTTTAGTTTATTATTTAATGAACTCGGATTCTAGTTCTAATTGTCCAATATTGACAGAATTACGCAATTATTGAAATCTAATAATAATGTCGCTCTTACTTCAAATCATTAGTGCGGTACAAAATGAAGTTACGAATACTTAAGTATAAAAACATCCTTAATCCTAATATTGCTTTTGGATTAACATTTCAGCCGAGTTTACCTATGTCTTCATTACAATCTATTGAGTGATTAAACCCTAAGCAAACAAAGGACCTATTTAAAATTTGTTATAATTATCACTTCTTTGCAGTCTACACTTAACCGATTCGGTTTAGACAATGGTCTAACCCTGCTAATTCTACGTAATAATATTGCTTTCGAGTATTGCTCTTAAGTCGATATTTATTGCTATCGTTCTAGTATTGCCTGTTTCCAACTAATAATGATTAGAATAATACCGGTCAAGTATAATGTCTACTGAGATTATGTAACTGAAAACATATTCAGGAGAATTTGCAACCTTGTTAAAATTAAGTTTGTTTTAAACTTGATTTATTTCTGGGCAACTTTCATATTTACCGATATGTTTAATTTATGTGGATCCATTATATAACAAACGTCGCATGCAGCTAACTATAATGATATACAGATTGTTATTTTCGTACATTGATACGAAATGTTGCTGGTTAATTGCACTGAAAAGTTCTGTATACTCATGCACGTAATATTACGTAAAGTCATATCAATTGGAAACACGCATTAAATATAAATAATGTTAACACTAATATTGCTTAGGACATTATTGCTACAATTATTTGGACATTTCAAAGTTATCACTGTAGTTGCGTCCTTATAATTAAAGATATTATTTTATTTTTCGTTTTAGAAAAGAGGAAATTACTTTAGTTACTGCTATACGTAGAGTTAGAAATACCCTTTTGAGCATATTGTTTTGTTCCCATTGTGCCTCGTTAGTGGAGAATTAAGTTGTTCAGTACACGTGTACCTATAGTAGCAGAATTTATGTAAGTAAAGTATTCAAAAAGGCACTTCTAGCTCATGCATTCATTAGTATAGGAAGTTCTTAACATATTTCTGACCAATTCGCTATTTATCGTGTCAGTAACTCAATTGATTAAACAATACGATGACTTCTTTCAGTGGCGGTACATAATAATGTCTTTGCGTTGAAAGTACGAATTAGCTATTAACTCTACAATCCACGATGCGCTAAGGAACGAAGAGGCGTGCATTTTTATACAATTAATTCCTTGTAGTTACTTTGTGTCAATAATGTTTAACTTTGCTGCAATGGTTGAATTAATCGACTCACGGCAAATCTTAAGCAGATAATAGACAACTTTCAATCAGCTTGTGAAATTCCGTGCGACAATTGTTTGTGTCGACTCACAATGTTCTACATAACTTCTCCACTATGTAAGTAGATGCCTAATAAAATGTAACGCTACGCCTACAAAATTGTAAAGAAGGGAAATTTGGTACATTTGGAAATATTTACAATCAAATGTAAAGGTAATATAATATTTTTGTATATAAGTTGGTTTTTATATTAATCGTTATATTACTATTAACCACTACAATAATAACGTTAATATAAATATTTCGAATAAAATATTTCGTTTTAATTTTTATATAGAAGCCAATATTTTGCTTTTCTACGAAAGACGAACGAGGGTTAGTAGCTAGAGTAAAATATTGAAGAGGTACGCGAAAGAGTACATAGGACTAAACTAGACTAAGTATAGATGAAGACGTACAGATTTTTCAAAAATTAATAGAGAAAGGAAAATAATAAAAGTCGAAACAAAGTCTGAAATAGACCAACACAACAAATTTTAAATTTTTAAGAAACAATCACAATGTTTTACATAATATTCGATGTCAGATTCGTTTCGTTTTTAATTGTTACAAGTACTTCAAAGCACCAAAACATCTAAAAATCTACTAGGTAAATATTAATAAACAATTAATATAAATTATTACTTAAAATCTAATATTGCTTATCGAATTACAGTATTGCTTTTAACGCGCAACCTTTGTCTGTAAGCCTATTTGTAAAAATAAATCGTTACAAGTGAAGGGAGCTAATCTACGTACAAGTAGTTAAATTGTGGCACTACACTACTAGGATTAATTTGGATTAGGTAGGATAGGTCATACAACTAGAATCGAGAAAAGTGCCTCTCTCCTTTAAATTATTCGTTAAATTTTTGAAAATTATTTCGGAATTATACACTTGAAACGTGTTACGTTAAAAGCCACGTTCCAGGAAAGTATGCTCGTTTTACCTTTACTAAAATTCCTTTATTGAATAATCAGGAAATTCTTTCTAAGATATTGTAATTGACAGGGTTAAATAAATTCACCAATAAGAATTGACATGGGAGGCACTACTTAATAGACAAGACAAAGTTTCATTAGCTTCACGGGATTGACACCTGATTCACTAAGGCTCAACTCACACTGGCGCAGAGTCGAAGCGCGTCGCCGCGCATTACTTGAGCGCAGTGAGGCGTCTGACGCCGACCACACTGTGATCCAGGTGCACTAATGCGAGCACCGTCGCGCGTCGACACGCGTCGCCAAGTGTTGTAATTGAAAAACAAGACGCGACGCGACGCTTCGACTCTGCGCCAGTGTGAGTTGAGCTTAAGACATTTAAAAAAAAACAGAGAAAACATAGCGTCGGTTAAATTCGTGAACCTCGTAACAGTCATTGATGTGCACTTTTGAGTAGGCACAAGAAAATAGAATTTCTAGTAATAATTATATGACAATCTATGATTATACCTATAGTTTATAGTGAAAACAGAGTCTATTAATTACATTTTAAGCTTTAATTGCCCGATATTGCGCTTGAAGAGTAAAAAAGGGATTTCGTCCGAAAACGGATTTACGCGATGATCAAATTAGGACGACGTTAGGTAATAATAAAAGTATATTTTGACTGTACATCCCAGAAAAGAAAAGGTGAAACCATAGGTCACTATGCTGTGCGTGGGTATCATATTAGTCTGTAAAACCATTTTTAATCTACCTCCGGCATTCCGGCTTCATTATGATCGTCCTCTGGTTTACTTGCTTTAGTTTCAAATGCTTTCCACGAGTTGCATTTCCGTCTTACGACACGCAAAGAACACTTTTTGCGCTAATTGCTGCATTCGGTTAGTTATTCATTTACTGAATGGAGAACCAATATACAGAGCAATAAATTGTGCATTATAATGTACAGTAATATGGTTATAATTTAAAATAGTATGATGTATATAGTTACGACAATAATTATATGGTTCCACATAAAAAAATTAGCTTAAAAACTTAAAAATTTCTCGTTCTCTTTTCTATCTAAAAAATTAACTTACCTCCCGTGAAGCCAATGCAGGTAAAACTAGAGGACTACAGAAGTTCTACAGGGTTTAGAAGAAATCATCTAAAAAGTTCATACACAACCAAATACTTCTCTACTAAAATATTACATTTTAGCAGAACTGCACGCCTTAGGTAACGTACGAAGTTTTCAGGTGATTTACTAAGTCTGCTGCGTCTACTCGACAGCGGTGCGCGACTTGACAAGTGCCTACATTATTATTGCTTTTCGAATACCCATTTCTCACCGAGCACCTCGTGCTCTCTTTAGCCTAGGTTACCTATATTTAGCTTATTCTAGATTAATTTATTGCCAATTATGTAGACTTGACTAGTATAACACACGCTCAACTAAAGGCATGTTTGCTGGGTGATGTCGCCAGTGGGCGCGCCCGCCACCGCCGCCCCCCCTTATTTGTCTTAGACGTTATCTAAGTTGAATATTTTTTTAAGTCTTAATGTTTGTTTGTACCGGACTTAGGCTAGAATTCTTTGTGAAGTGTTACTTCATTATTTAATTTTTTGTAGACGCTACGCTAGGCTTAAATATTTGGTGATCGCCAAATTTATGAGATGATTATTTTTTCTGTGAAGATAAATTGTGCGCAGTAAACAGTGCGCAGGCGGTAATGGTAGCTGGGCGGCGGGGCGGATGCGGCGCGCGGGCGCCGCTAAGGCACTGTCCCAGGCCAGCAATGTGCAGCCACGGCGGCGCGCAGGAGGCCGTCGTGGCCTTTGACCGTGTTGCGGTGCACTGACGGTGCGATGGCCGCCTGCGCGTATCTCGGGCCGGCGCTAGAGGGCCGGGCGCGGCGGCATGTGCGGACCTTCGGACGGAAAGTTTTGGCAAATTCCTCGGTGAGACGAGGACGCGGGCGCCCGGCGCAGCCGCCGGCTCGACCGACTCGGCGCGCGGCGCTCGCATATCACACCTAAACTTACACCCTATCTTCTATAACCTACTTTGCGGTTGTAAAAATCACCTACAAAAGATATTACTTTTCATTCATATTTCAATACATCTATGTATATAAGGGTATATTTTATCGACGAATATATACACAATTAAAGTGTAAGTCGGGACGTCTGTTGCTACGGCCTATCACCGCGACAGCCGCGGCACTACGGGGTCGTACGTGATTCGTTGTTTGCGAAACGTTGCTCGATTGTGGTGCTCGCGCCCGCCGTCTCACGATCTCACGAAAGGTATCACTGCGTCGGCGGACACGGGCAATTCTAGATTTAAATTTGTAAAATTTATAATATTACGCTAACATGCTAAATTCATATTAATACTTTAAGTTTACCAGCAGTTACGGTCCCTAGTTGCGTGTGCGTGCGTTCTTGCACTTCTAGCCTGACGCAGAGGCAGGCGCGTCGGGTGGCGCATCTTCATCGCGCACGCAGGCCGACTCCTGGTGTTTATTGAGGTAGCTCTTTAGCGCAAATGTTTTGTGGCAGCGAGTACATTCGAAGTTTTTGTCGGAGGAGTGCGTTTGCATGTGTGCGCGTAGATTAGAACGGTCCGCGAAAGCTTTACCACAGTGAGCGCAGCCGTATGGTTTCTCGCCAGTATGCGAGCGCAGGTGGCCCTGTAGCAGCCACGGTCGCGAAAATAACTTGCCGCACACTCCGCACACGTGGGACAGTTGGTGTGTGAGCACGTGCATAGCCAGCGCTGGCATTGACACATAGGCCTTGCCGCACTCGCCGCATCGCTTAGCCGACATCGAGTCGAGGCTACGGTGCGTTTGTTTGTGCCGTGATAAATTCGACGAAGTGGCATATCGTTTACCGCACTCGCTGCATGTGTACTTAGATTTGGGCTCGGGTGGTGGTGGGCCTTCGACTGGTACATTTGCATAACTTCGCCGCTTCGAACGTCCATCGCTAACGAAGAAGGCGTCGTAGGTATAAGCGACGGTCTCGCGCGGCTTTTCGGATGTGGGTGCTGGTGTCGGTTCCGGCGGAGGAATTTCCTCGACGATAACTGGTTCAGGTGGCGGCGGAGGTGGAGGTGGTGGTGGCGGCAATTCAGGTGGAGCAACTGGGGTGGGCTCCACGCGTGGAGTGGTCAGATACACCGCATGTTGGCTCAAGTCGAGGATGGCATGTGCCGCATTAAGGTCTTCCTCAGCACGATTGAGGTGCGCAGCCTGCTCGCCCAGACAGTAGGGTCGGTAGATGTCTTTTTTCTTCGGCGGAAGAGAAAGGAGCGTGCCGGTGCTGGTATAGCACATAGAGATGGACTTGCCGCTCGCCGGTGGCGGGGGAGGGGAGACAGAAGGTTGGAGCGGCACTTGCAGGAAGGGTGGATCTGGCGAGTCAGATGCAGAGAGTTGTAGAAGCGCGTAAGAGAGAGGCGGGGAGGCGTCATTGGCGCCGGTGGGGGCCGCGCTCACCTCGCTCGGCAGTTGGGCCGTGAACTGCGTGGAAGGTTGCTCCTCGGTGTACCCTGTTACAACAAAAAATACATAGAGTCAGTTAACGCTAGATGAGAGGAATTTTTTCTGAGTGTTCGATCTTTGTATTAATAATTATAACAAACTAGTGGAGTAATTTCACAAACAATAATTGAATATCAATTCAATAAAAATTTAAAATACATTGAATAGCGACATCTCTCACCAGGACTGGTCGCTGTAAATGTGATAAATCTCACATAGATTTCTCATAGATGGCGCTACTACTAAAACGACTAAAAAGTCGTTGGAAAACCAAATATAAATACATGACGCAAGCACATAGAAAAAATCGCGAGGTCCGCTGGTTCGTTCCGTGGCTTAGTTGGTATAGCGTCTGGCACGGTAAGCTAGAAGACATTGGTTCGAGTCCGGCCGGATCGAAGGAATTTTTTCTGAGTGTTCGATCTTTGTATTAACAATGATAACAAACTAGTGGAGTAATTTCACAAAAAATAATTGAATATCAATTCAATAAAAATTTAAAATTATGGTTACATTTATGTTATATTGTTATGTTTAAAAAAAGACGGTAGGGCATGTGATGTCATTAATGTGTATTATATTGTAACGTGCAAATGACTACTTATGGTAAATAAAGTTTGTACAACACTTTTACTGTCGTCATGTTATTTGGTGCACGGTACACCTTGGGTTAACCCAATGAGGTTATATGATATCAGTCAAATCATTCGTCAATCACTTTTCTTATTAATACGAATCTACGGGCGTTCCATTGACCGAAAAACTTTAGAAGCGTTAAAGTTACAGCGAAAGACATACCCACAAGTTAAATTATTTACATTCAAACTATTCTTCGCATAATAAATCTTCTTGGTTCTATAGTAATCGAATAAAAAGCAGTTACATATCTGCCTACTTAAATCATAAGTGCGAGTAAATACGTATTGCTTGCAAGTACTAAAACGACAATTGGAAAAAATGTAATGACAGAGAAAGATAATTATATACTAGGAGGTCATATCACATTTTTTACTTACGGGCTAGCAACAGACTAATAAATAATAATCTCAGTACAGAGTACTCTAAAAACCGGTTCAAAGTACATTCAGAGAGAAAAACGCCTTGAATTGGAGAATAGCAAAATCAACAACCAAAATAATTGCTCCTTATAACAAATCTTAGGCGCTATTTATAAAAATGAAACTACATGCGTGAACAGCCACCCTTAGAGGTGGATGATGTGGAGGTACCCTCTTTCCAACAAAAAAGAATCATGAAAATCGGTTCACAAATACCGGAGTTATCGCGTAACATACATACAAAAAAACATACAGTCGAATTGAGAACCTCGCGTCGAATTTCTTCGCGCGATTCTAGCGTTAATAGGTAGGTTGGTAAGGAGGTACTAGGTGGTGAGGAGTGCGGGAGGACGAGAGGGCGAGAGGGTCCCTGTGACGGCCAAAGATAGACCGCGAACGCGGGTGGAGGGGCTGCAAGAGTTATGCCCGGAGTTAATAACTTGCAAGCAACCTGTGGCTATGGTTTGTCAACTTGTGGCGTTTACCTGTGGATATGTCCTAAAGAACAAATGGTTATGAGTAAGACTAGAAGTTGTTACAATCGACAGCGCAGTCACGTTGATGACGCATTCTTACGATTCCGCAGTCTTTGTTTTTTATACATTAATATTGATTCTTTTCGTAATTGCGGAGCATTTTTTTTGTTTGTACTATCTTTATAAATAAGTATTAATATTGTATCCAGATGATAGTTCCCAAAAAAAGAATTAAAGCGATTAAGATTCGAAAAAATAGTTTCATTTCCAAATCGCGAAAATCTCGACGCGATAACAACTCGACATGTTTCCTATGAGTTTTCGTTCTTTAAATCTTAAACCATTTTCTTTGAAACGAAAAACGTAAATGATATGGCGCTGCTGACCCCATCGATCAGTGGTCTGAGAAAGATGCTGAATGTACGTGAAAGTTATGCCGTAATGCAAGAACTAAGTTATAATGAAAAGAAGAGTGAGTTTCTTGTGTTTAAATATAAAGGCCTAAATAATATTCCACCGCTTCTTTTAAATGATATACCCTTGAATCGTCTCTCTCGGTCTAAGTATAGCATAGATGTTGGAGATGATGATGTTGTTGTGAGGGAGCACAGGGCGTTGTCGGTGCGCGGTAACATGTTGGCTTAGAGGTGCTCCATAAATGTAAAAATAACTCTTTTAGAGCTTATTGCCATAATTTTTATGTATTCTATGGACCAACTTGACTCAGCGAGCTTATAACGTCTTGTGTGTTGTTACGTATTTAGGGTTATGTTGAGGCTTCTTCGCGTTGGCAGCGCCTCTGCATGTTTGCGAATGCGTGTGTTATGCTTAGGCCACATAGAGTTGGCCGTGGAACCGTTCCGAGCGCGGGAATTTTTGTAATGTATGTCAGTGTGGCAGAGTTCATATGAACTCGTACAATACAAAAATTCCTGCTCCCGGAACGCTTCCGCGTACGTCTCTGTATGTATGGCCAGAGCATAAATGTTTTTTACGCATTGATGCTCAAAAAAAGTGCGTCACAGAGGTTGAGACCGCGTAAGAGCACCAATGGCATCCTAAATATGATAGCAAGATTAATGAATTCGGCTGTATATTTTTTTACATTTTATTAAAATTCTAAATGTCACAAACACGGCTCACATAAATTGCATTAGCTGCCAATTCGCGACCCCTCCAAATGAAGTGTATTTTACGAGAAATTCGGCGTGGCTTTTAATATTTCAGGCTTATTTTAACGAAATACAAACAAATGCTTATAAATTCCTTTTGAATTCACACTCAATTCGGCGTTGCGGCTATTTCCTGAACAATAGATCGATTAAAGTCGTGCTAAGTAAAGCAGAACATAAATTTGTAACCTTGATGTAAAGACCAAATATGCAAAATGCGAACTTTCTCTAGAGAGGTTTAAAGATTCTAATATCGAAATTGTTCGAAAATTTTTTATGCTTTAATAGGAGAGTTATAAAATTTCACATATATACGCAATTCTGCCGTCTACTACCAAAAACGCGGCTAAGTGACAAATGGTCAAATATCCGTTTGAAATAGCAAAAGATAGAGCACAAACTGGTTATTACAATTATGGTTTTATTACGATATTAAAAGAAAATCTTTTGTCACCAGCCGCGTTTTAGTTAGCGGAAGGCAGAATTTGATTCATGAAGTTCGTATTATTTTTATGACTTTCATGTGACAAATACATTCTTGACTAATATAGTCACATGTGGCTTTAGTCACTGTTTTAGTTAACCTAGGGGTACGAATTGTTAAGCGGCATCATGATATAACACAGAGAAAGTGCCTCATGTAAAATAATTGTCTTTGCCAGTTCTCTATTTATACGATCTTAATTTGAAAAGAAGAAGTAAATGGCACGAATTCTAAAAAAATATAAATCCCATCGTTAACGTCTCCAAACAATAGAAACAGTTTATTTTATGGCTTGAGAGTATCTTTGCAATCTATTGTTGAACGCGTTCAATTAAGCACCAATTCCAATTTATTTCGAAACAGATAAGTTGTCGAGTAAAACGCTATTAATGGAGTTCTTAGCTAGCAGAAAGTCCCGAAGGAGAATGGCTAAATACAGAACGGAGACACAAGTAATCCGAGAGTTTAGTGGCTTACGGCGCAGGGAATGCAGTAAATGAAAGCTGACCGCTGGCGCTTCACTGTAGGGTTGGTAGGACGCCATGTTATATTGCACCAAATTAATATTGAATATTGTTAAAAATACATTGTGATTATTAAGGTAGAGCAGTTGTTTTATATAGAAATATAATAAAATATTATAATATATACGAGATACGACGGAAACGTAGAACAATAAATACAGTAGAAGTGGTTAGTTAGCGTCTGACGTGTGCCAACATTAGGGGTCGTATTCCAGAACTCTACTCAATGCTCAAGTCAGGACTTAAGTATGATTTAAAGCACTAGAAATCATACTTAAGTAGTTGCCATTAGAGTCGTACTTCCAGTGCTTGAAATCATATTCAAATCCTGACTTGAGCATTGAGTAGAGTTCTGGAATACGACCATATGTCTCGAAAGACCTACTTGAACTCAGTCCGCCATTTTCGCTTTGTATGGGTATGATTGTGTCATTCTTTCGCGCTAATAATCTAAAATCACAGAAAAATGCTTTATTGACTGCAAAAATGATAGCCGCACTAAAATATTCCCCGTAGTAGTATTTTATAACACCGATAAGTCTTATTTTAATAAATTTTCAATTTTCTGTTTATCGAGTTGATCCAGACGTTAATCGTTCATCGTAGTCTAGCTACTGGCCGCAAGATGGCAGCACGGCGAATAAGTTTCAATATAAAATACAAATTGTCACTGAACGACTGGGTAAGGTTTCAATTATGTTCCAAACAATAAACGATTCTAAACAATCCAGAATTTGTTACTTGTTTGTAAATTAGAAACCATGACCAATCATCATCAAGATTTCAAAGTGTTTTTCATTTTGTTTGTTGCGTTTTGGCGACATCGGTTCCGATAGTAATGGAGGCTTATGGCCCTTCCATTGTTTTTTTCTTCCGTGGTTTCTATTAAGGCATTTCCATTGTTTTTTCTCTTCCGTGGACAGAAACCAACAAGATCAACACTTTGAATCAAAAAATTACATTGTGTTATTTCAAAGTGTAATGGTATTATTAATCAGCAGATTGACAAAAAAGCCCTGTTAGGACAATATTGACGTCATTATTATTTTTAAAATATAATGTATATGAAAGCCCCTTAGTTGTTGGAGTGTAGCAATCCCACCCCGACGATCAGGATTAGTCAGCGGGAAAATGTGCTTTAGTTTTTTGCGCGGAACGGGGAGGTATCTCAAACAAAGAATAACTATATCTATCTATGCAATAAACGTACCTAGCTAAATAGCGTGATTTAATTTTCAGTCCTTGGAAATAATTAATCTTAAAATCGATTCACTATATAAGTAGTAGTATGAAA